CACACATGTGGCATTCATATGGTTTCTCTCCAGTGTGGAGCCTTTTGTGACGAGAGAGATTCCCCGAATCAGTGAAGCATTTGTCACATTCAGGGCACTTATAAGGCTTTTCACCTGTGTGGGTCCTTTTATGGACAGTAAGAGTATATGGATTACTGAAGCTCTTCCCACAATTGGTGCATTGATACGGTTTTTCTCCTGTGTGGATCATCTCGTGTGACTTAAGATTAACTTTTTGACGGAACCTTTTTCCACAGTTCAGGCATTGATAAGGTTTCTCCCCTTTATGCATCCTATTATGTAAGGTTAGAGTGCAGCGTTGGCTAAAGCTTTTTCCACATTCCAGGCATTCATAGGGTTTCTCCCCTGTATGGATCCTCTTATGGGAAGTAAGATTACATCGGGCACTGAAGCATTTTCCACACTCTGTGCATTTATACGGTTTCTCTCCTGTGTGGATCCTCTTATGCAAATTGAAATTACTTTTTTTTGCAAAGCTCTTTCCACACACCGTGCAATGATATGGCTTTTCCCCTGTATGCATCCTATTATGGCAAGTGAGGTCACCTGCAGAGCGGAAGCTCTTCCCACATTCTAGGCATTTATATGATTTCTTCCCAGTGGGCCTTTTTCTCTGGGAATTCAGTTCCTTACTCTGAGTAAACCTCATTCTACCCTCCCTGTGTTGATCCAACTTCCCTCTGTGGACGCTTTGGTGGGAAGTAAGGGAGGTGCTGCTTCCAAAGGACTTTCCACAGGGGATGCATTGATGCTGTTGCTTCTCTTCGTGGACTCTCCTGTGTGAATTAAGGTGGTTTTTCTGTCTGAAGGTCCTTCCACAATCTAGACATTTGTGTGGCTCCCCTGCTTTGTGAATCTCTTTATGCGAAGCAAGACAGCGGCTTGTACCGAAGCTTTCTGCACACTCTGTACATTTGTATGGTTTCCCTCCTTCTTCTATTCTTTCATGTAAAGGAGGAGGAAGGCTCCTTCTGGGGTGTTGCCTGCTTTCATCTTGTTTCTCTCCAGCAGGGCTTTCATCACAGTCACATAATCCAGATTCATCACAGAGTCTTTTTCCACACCTTGAACACACTTGTTTTTCATGGTAATCATCAGTGTCCAGTAAGACATTGGTATCTGGACAAGGTAAACCAGAGCAATTCTCCAGCTCCCCAGTTAGCTGGTTTTGCTTCAAACCGTGCTTTCCATACATCTTTTCTGCAATTTCCTTTTTGTCTTTTGGCAAAGGTGCTGCTGCCTCTTGGCCAGAAACCTCCATCTCCCATCTGTCACCTGGTTGCAACAATAAAAAAAGAAAAGTTAGCACAACCTTTAGTGCAAAAGCAATCAAGCACCATGCTGTATTTGAAGGGTATCAAACTACTTCCAAACTCCCGTTTGTTCTAAACATGATGCTATGCTTGCTATTAAGATGATTGAACATTTGACCTTTGGCTACTAAATTTAAATCCCTTACCTAATGAGGCCACATTCCTCTTGTTTTCCAGCATGACCTCTCGGTACAGGGCTTTTTGCTCAGAATCCAGCAGAGCCCACTCCTCCACTGAGAAAAATACAGCTACATCCTCAAATGATATCAAATCCTGACACAGAGACAGGGGGGAAAAGGACAACATATTCCATGAATATTCTTAACAATGAACACTTCAATGAATTACATGTGAGTCTTCTTAATGAAAAACCTCCATAGCTTCCAAGTAGGGCAAAGACCATGTAGGATATTGAATTTAGTAACTGGAACAGTAAAGTCTACAATAGGCCAGAACACAATTGTAACTGATTAGTTAGAGGATGCTGACTCATGCAGGATGCAATCTACGCTACGATTGGCTGCTGACAGTATAAAGGGGGCGTTTCTCTTTTTTCCCGCCTTTTTTCCCTCTCTCTGTCCTGCATGATGCTTTAGATTTACCTCAGGATGTTCCTCTGTTTTCCTGACTATCTTACATTATTCCTTTTGTGGATGGTGACAAAGACTGCTGTAAATTTCCATGTTAAATATATTTATGTTTATATAAAAGTCTCCAAGTCTATGTCAGTGTCTCCAACTTCATCTGGGCAGCAGCTGCGCTCTCTACAAAAGCCAAGCTTGGACTTTACTGTTTACTTTGGGCTTTCATGTTCACCACTTTAAAAAAAATGCAGAGTATATAACTATAATTGCATAATGTATAAATTAAATGTGAAATGAGATTTGAATGGATAACAACTATAAGATATAAAGGTGATAAGCTCTATTTGGTAATCACAGGGGAAAACTTGCTTTTTAATGCCTGGAAGGGGAGGGAATTGTTTTTTTTTTCTTTTCCCTGGAAAAAGAACGTATGAAGTTGTAAGCAGGACAGAAAAAAGTACTGTCAGCTGGTGCTCCATTCAAAATCCAAGAAAGAAATACTTAGACTCTTTTAATTAGATAAAAGGTATCTTTTACTGGAAATCAAGTGGTAGCAACAAAAGAATTCTGAATCTGAGAAAATGGGTGCGTAAATCACATATACAAAGTAATGGCAATGTTCCCACCCCCAATAGTTCAAATGGTTCTTCCAATTAAAAGTGAATATCATCATGTGGATATCTCCAGGTGGTGATGAGGCTTCTGTCCATTGACCTTGGCATACTTTGATAAAGGTTTGCAGCTGCACATAGAAGAGAGAGCAAGGAATAGAAACCTAAGCAAGAATGTATTCCCCCCCCCATTATACCATTCTGGTTGTAACACCTCCAGTTCACTTCCCATAATTTTCCCCCCTTCTCCCCCGTTACTTATGACAGCTGAAAGATGCAAAGCAAAGGGAGAAAATCTCGAAGGCTGACAAATACAAATATAATGATTACAAAGATATAGAAATTTAGAAAGAGCTATGTAATTGAATTAGAAAGCAATGAGATAATCAGAAATAAGGTTGAGGAAAGTAAGGGAAGGGAAAAATTATTGAGAAAATGATAAAATAGTGTCAAGATATGAAATAGAATATAAAGATGAATATGTAACTGAGATTATGTCTGTATGGAGATGTGATAACCTGGAATCATGCTGCTCTCAAAAAAGATATTTTATTTGTATTATGTTTTCTGAAAATCCAAATAAAACTTTTACAAAAAAAAAAACCCAGAGTAAAGACCACAGAGTACAGAGTTCAGTTTTGGTCACCACATTACAAAAAGAAATGTGGAGACTTTGGGAAAAGTGCAAACAGCAACCAAGGATTAAAGGCTTTGAGATTAAATGACACAAAAAACAGTTGCAGGAACTGGATATGGCCAGTCTAGAGAAAAGAAGGACCAGGGGAGACACGATAACAGTGTTTCAATATTTGAGGGGTTTCCACAAACAAGAGGAGGCTCAACTTATTTTTCAAAGCACCAGAAGGCAGGAGAAGAAAACAACGGATGGAAACTAATGGTGGATAAAGGCAACCTGGAATTAAGGAACAACTTCCTGACAGTGAGAACAATTAACTAATGGAACAGTTTGCTTTCAGAAGTTGTGGGCTGGAGGTTTTTAAGGAGAGACTGGACGGCCACTTGTCTGAAAGAGTATAGGGTCTCCTGCTTGAAACAGGGGGATGGACTAGAAGATCTCCAAGATCCCTTCCGATTGTCTTATTCTGTTATTGGGAGATTGGCACATGAGGGGAGGGGAGGGAAGAATCCTCCTACCTGCGTTGGAAGCTCAGCTGCTGTTGATCCTCTACTACAAATAACTGGGGTTCCGGGAGATGAAGACAAGGCCATGAGAGGGTCTAGGAGTGGGGGGAAAAAAACAGCAAAGGAATAATTGGCTATCAAACATCCTAAGGACATTCTTGAGCATCCAGTGCAAAAGGCTGATTTTAGCCTATTTCTAGATTAACTAGGGGACTGACCCCTTTAAGTGAGTCCTTTGCAGCCACAGCAACAACACACAGAAGCTCATTCTCGGTGAGAGGAAAACTGAAAGGTGTGGAAGGACCAGGGATTGGATTCAGAAGCAGATTATCTCAGCCGTGAATGTGTGCATTAAAGGACCAACTCCGTTATTCTACGTTGCTATAATGTTCACCTTCCCTTATGAGATAATCAAGGAAGATTACAAAAACTCTTCTTTTACAGCTGGGACTTGAAGTGGGGAACTAGTGGCCTTTTTTGACGGCTGGACTTCAACTCCCAGAATACCTGAGGCAGCTGGCTGAGGAATTTTGGGACTTGAAGTCCACCAGTCATAAAAGGTCCGTAACTTCCGCACCCCTGGGTTACCTCTTGGGAGCTGTTAAGATATGTGGATTTTCAACACACGTGGGAAATTCTGGGAGTTAAAGCCAAAAATCACAAGGTTGCCCAGGTTGAGAAACAATGGCCCACAGGAAAGTGCGACGCCTCTTTAAATGCACCCCAAATTCAGTTTAATTGGACGATGGAAGCCAATTCCGGGAGGAAAGGAAGGCGGGCGAAGAGAGGAAGGGGGTCCGGAGGAGCCTTGAGCCGATGCTCTCTCCGGAGGGGGCTCGTCTCGAGCGGCTCCCCGAAACAGCAGCGGCTGGGAGGGATCGCCCCACTTTTCTCCCCGTCGGTTTCGCGGCCCTTCAACTCCGAGCCTCCTGGATGTGAAACGGCCCCAGAGCAAAGGAAGCGACGGGAAACGGTCAGGAAGGGCCGGCAGAAAAGAAAGGAGAATAAGAATCATCTTCCCCAGGAGGAAGTGGAACCCCAAGAAGCTGCGCCCCAAGAAGCTGCCTTGAAGGGTCTCCTGTCCCGGCATTTCCCAGGAAGGAAGGAAGGAAGGAAGGAAGGAAGGAAGGGGAAGGGGAAGGGGAGGAAAGGGAAGGAAGGAAAGAAAGAAAGAAAGAAAGAAAGAAAGAAAGAAAGAAGTGGGGACGGCAGCAGCGATCTTAGCAGCGTCCCAAGAAGCTGCTTTGAAAGGGTCTCCTGTCCCAGCATTTCCCAGGAAGGAAGGAAAAGTGAGGGAGGAAGGAGGGAAGGAAGAAGCAGCTTTTTACCTGGCTCTCAATAAGAATGAGGCGGCTCTCTTTCTCTCCTCTCCTCCGCTCCCCTAGAGACCCGGGCAGGAAAGGATCCGCGATCACCGCTGGACGCGCTTCCTTACTTCGCGGCCACGCATGTGGATCCCCCACCCCGGAACGACCCCAGCCAGGAATTTGCAGAGTCCAAGCCGGAAGCGCTTATAGCTCCTCCCATTCTCCGCAGGGCGGGGAGCACCGCCCACTCGGGGTCCCCCTACCCGCCCCCCTTCCTTCTGCCCCGGGGGAATCGGTCCCGGGTGGGACCGTCAGCTGGGCAGGGAATCCAGGGCTGCTTCTCCCCAGGCAATCAGAGAAACGGGAGAGAGGGAGGGGAAGGAAAGGTATGCGGAGCACCAAAAGTTAGGAGGGAATAGCTCTTTAAGAAATGAGCAGGATCTTGTAGGTCATCTAGTCCACCCCCCCAAGCAAGAGACCCTACACCATTTCTGACAGTTGGCAGCCCAATCTCTTCTTGAAAGCCCCAACTGATGGGCTTCTGAGGTCAAGCTGTTCCATTAGTTGATTGTTCTCACTGTCAGAAAGTTTCCCCTTATTTCCAGGTTAAATCTCTCCTTGTTCAGTTTCCACCCATTATTCCTTGTCTGGCCTACAGGCGCTTTAGAAAATAGCTTTGTGGCAGCCCCTCAAATATTGGGACACTACTATCATGTCTCCCCTGGTCCTTCTCTTCCCTAGACTGGCCAGGCCCTGTTCCTGCAACCATTTTTCATATATTTTAGTCTCCAGTCCCCTAATCATCCTGGTTGCTCTTCCCTGTACTTTTTCTAGAGCCTCAACATCTTTTTTTATAATGTGGTGTCCAAAGCTGGATGCAGTACTCTAGATGTGGTCTTACTAAGGTTTTATAGAGTGGCATTAGTACTTCCCTTGATCTTGATTGTATCCCTCTGTTAATACAACTTAGGATTGCATTAGCTTTTTTATGGCTGCTGCAAACTGCTGGCTCCTATTTAGCTGGTTGTCCACTAAGACTCCAAGATACCTCTCACAGTTACTGCTATTGAGCCTGGTTTCACCCAGTCTATATGTGTACTTTTGGTTTTTCTTGCCTAAGGGTACAACTTTACTTTTCTCTACATTAAATTGCATTTTGTTAGATATGGCCCAGTGTTCTAGTCTGTCAAGATCCATCTGGATCTTGAGCCTATCTTCTTGGGTGTTAGCTATTCCTCCCAGCTTAGTATCATCTGCAAATTTGGTAAGTTCCCCTTGTATTCCCTCATCTAAGTCATTAGTGAAGATATTGAAGAGTACTGGGCCCAAGACAGAACCTCGTGGCACCCCACAGCTTAATTCCCTCCATGTAGACTTAAACCCATTAAGGACTACTAGTTGAGTATGGCTTGTCAGCCAATTGCAAGTCCATCTAGTGGTGGTGCTATCTATTCCACTTTTTTCTAGCTAAGAAGTAGGTTGTGATCTACTTTGTGGAATGCCTTGCTGAAATCTATATTATGTCCATGGTATTTTGCTGGTCAACTAGTTCAGTCACTGTGCTGAAGAATGAAATAAGATTGATTTGGCATGATTTGTTTTTAACAAACCCGTGGGGACTACTAGTTATTACTTGTTTCTAAGGTGCCTGTGTGAGATGTAAGACCCCCAATAAATTTATACTCACAAAACAAAGACAAGTCTGGTTCACAATTTCAAGCGTTTATTGAACCAAATAAAAGAAAGCAGTTGCAAGCGTGGCCTCCAAGACCCTTCCCAAGTGGATTAAGTACAAGGAGAGCAAAGTACTATTTTCAAACTAATATATTTATACCCCCTGCACAATGCACGCTACGCCTAAGAAGCCCTCCCAACTCCCCCTTATTATCTGAAACTATACGATGAGTTAAACTATAAACTAAAGGGTCAACATGAGATTGTTTTCTATGCATGGGATATCTTATCTTGTTTTACTTCTGAGGTTCACCTTGGGAGGATATCCCTTATCTTATTTACTTGTTGCCTGGCCCTGGGTGGATGTTCCTGTTTTCCAAGAAAATTGTGACAAGCTATCACATACTTTAACTGAATACACTTTGGGGGTTAGGGTGGGGGTTAGGGTAAGATGTAACAAAAGGAGTGAGAGGAATATTCTAGCTTAACAACACATAAAACACTATTATAAAAGAGTAACTTAATATATTTTCCCTTCACCTGGGAACTGAATTGCATTTATGACCTGTGGAAAGGGAACTTCACGAGTACAGTGGTGTCACCCAAGCAGGAAAACCCCAAAGGAACATCAAGCCAGCCATAAAACAAACTTGCATAGGAAAAGGAATCAAATAAAAGGTATTAAAGAAGCCCCTTAGACGAAAGCCCAAATAATTAAGAAAACTAGGGAAACAAGAAAAGAAAACCCTTACAAACACAGGACATGCCAAATCAGCAAAACAAACAGACAAAAGACACAAAATATATTGCAAAGGAGACAGACAGGAGATTGCCACAAAACAAATATAAGAAAACATTAGGACGAAACTGATAATCCAATCAAACCACCCCGCGGAGTTTACCCTCCGGCGGAAATGAAGACAACCCCTGACAGGATTTAAAATATTAAGAAATACAAACACAAGCACTCACACACAAAAGGAGAAAACAAGTATAAAAACCAGGGGCTTATCATACAAAGCTAGCTAGCCCCAGGAATACAGACTTCTTGCTATCTCTTGCCTTCCTGAAAATAAAAAGATCCAGCTTTCAAGCAGTTGTCTGTATCCATGCACTGGAGCTCTCCCAGCGGGAAAATCGAATCTTCAGAAGAAAGGCATTTTCTAAGCCTTTCAACAGACCCTTGTAGAGTCCAGGGGTCACGTGATCTCTTGCGACCTTCCCACAAGCAACGTCAATGGGGAAACCAGATTCACTTAACAACCATAGCAAGAAAGGTCACAAAATGGAGCAAAACTCACTTTACCAAACATCTCACTTAACAACAAAAGTTGATGGCTCACTTGTGGTCGTTAAATCTATTCTCTCTACAAAATACCTTTTAGTTCAACAGCTGCAAGCCTAATGAAGCCTGCTTCCAGTTTGCAGAGGGGGGGTTCCTGGCTTATTCCCCATTTCCCCCTCAAAAATTGCACTTCCAGAGGGGCTGAAAGAAGGAAAAAGATCCTTCTGAACTCAAAGGCACTTTTGGTTTTCCTCACCTTTCCTGCTCCAGGCACTTTGCCAGATATGTCAATGTCTCAAATTGAACCCATTGAAGAGAAGATTGTAAGCAAAAACTTTATTCCACAGAAAAAGTAACACAAGGAAATCTCCCTCAAAGCTTTTTTACCTCACTAACATTGAATTGCTTCCATTCATCCTCATCTCCCCGTCCCTTGTCCCTGGCCACCATGAACCTCCACTCTTCTTCTCTGGGTATTGTTAACGTTTATCTTCCCATATCCCAGTGTCATTGTTCCATCCTCTTCAAAGGAGATCTGAGCTCGGAGTTTGCACAGCAAATCCCTCCCCAGGAGTGGGATAGGACAGTCTGGCATATACAGAATTTGATGTGTTATGGTTTGTCCTTTAGTTGTGCACACGAGGGGCTCCAAAGAGGGACGCTGTAAAATACTTCCTGTAGCCCCCTGGATATTAATGGTGTGGGGGGAGGCCTGTGTTAGGGGCTGGGTTAGGACTGACCGTGTGGCTCCAGTGTCTACTAGGAAGGTAATAGGTTTGCCTCCTACATTTAGCCGGACCATAGGTTCTGGGAGGCAATCTGACCACGGTCAGTTTCAGTCCCATTCTTCCACCTCTGCCAAGCCTATGAGAGGGGTTCTTTCAAATCCTTTCCTGTAACCTTGCCCTCCCCGGCTTCCTCTCGGGGGGCCATCAGAGGCCTCCTTGGAAATTCCCTCTTCTTCTTCCATCTGGCCTCTCTTCTTTGTTCCCTTCCAGACACTCACCCTTCCAGTGTCCCTCCTTCTTACAGATAGCACACTGGTTACGTCCTAACCCTGATCTGTTGCCCCTTGCTCGGCTGCCTCCTCTATCCTTTGGGGTCCACATCATAGCTGCCGCCATTAATTCAGCTTTTCTTTGCAATTTTTAATCTTTCTTCTGCTCTTCCTCTTTTTCCGTTTACAAAAACTTTCCGCGCCACCTCCATTAGCTCGCTCATGGGTTTACCTAGTGCTCCCTCAAGTCTTTGTAATTTATGGCGTATGTCTGTGGCACTTTGTGAGATAAATGCCATTGTCAACATTCGGGCATTCACCGGATCAGTGGGATCTATGGGAGTATACATGCGGTAAGCGTCAATAAGACGGGCATAAAATGCTTCAGGGCTTTCGGTGGGCTCTGCAACACCAGGGAGGGTTTTGACATAATCACTGTAGGCTTTCCTGCCAAATGGATGGCTCGCACAACTATTGACTGGTAGTCTCATAAATGGTACATATAGTTGTAAGGATTCCATTTAGGGTCTTGCGATGGGAAGTGAGCCTCAACATATGCTGCTAGATTCCCATCTGCCCTGAAATCAGGCTTTAATATCTCAGTTACTACATTCTTAATCTTTTCCCTTTCTTCCGGATTAAACAGAGTCCCCGTTAGTTATTGGAGATCCATCCAAGTGGGATTGTGTGTGTCCACTATAGTTTTCACTAAATCTGCTACTTCTGTAGGTTTTTCACTAAAGGGGCCATGGTGTAGTTTCCAGGTAAGTAAATCTGACATAGTGAATTGTTCTGTCTCACCTGTGACCACGAGGCAAGAGTCTAAGCCTCCAAAGGAATATAAATAAACAGACAGGACCAGGAACGATAGAGTTAAATTCCTTTGACTGGAGAAGTCCTTGGCAGTCTTCCAGAAGCTGCCTGCCAAGTCCGATAACAAACAAGACCATAAATCAAAAGGCAAACGCCGCACAGAGAATTTGTCAAGCTGCTATTCCGAATAAACAAATTGTCCCGAATGAGGATTCAGAGCTAACACGCCCTCTTTTATTTCCTGAGGGGCATGTCAGTCTCTCAAGTCAGTCCCTGATTTGACATTTCGTTTTACGTTGCATTTCACGCTTTTGCCTGCGTCTTTGCCTTGCATCAAACCAGCATTCCTCGGCTTGATCCTCAGCCAAGGACTCCGGCACTCTCTTCTGATTATCTGCTGACACCTGAGGCACAACCAGGGAGGAAGGGGAGGAAGATGATTCCGAATCTTCCAGCAAAGCAGGCTCAAATCTCAAGGCCAAATCCTCCTCTTCCTCATTACTCGAGCCTGTGTCTTCTAACAGAGGAGGCTCAAACCTCCAAGTCACAACAGTGAATGGTACATGTTGGAACAGTGGTAAGGTGACCGATGCTGTGGGGTCCTCATGATCTGTTACCAGGTGGTCAACCTGCCTAAGCGGTGCTGTCAGGGACGTTTGTTCTATTTTGGCTCTTGTCCTTGGTGCCACTGGTTCAGCCTCTTGTTTAGGGTCTATTTGGGGGCCAACCTGGGGTTCTCCCTGGGCAGAGGTCCCTGGGGGCGAAAGATCGGCTTGGGCCGATCGATCTATCGTATCTGTTGGATCCCTGGGGCTTCTCATGAAGGGGGATATCCGGTCTAGTCGAGCTATTAATCCTGATGCCCCAGAGGATTCTCTCTCATCTGACATCCTTCTTAAGCCAAGAGGGGGTACGTATGGGGGTGGATGCGGTAGTTCTTCTGGGCAGCTAGGCATGACTCGGACGACTTCTTTAGTTTGGTCAATGGTAACGTTCGTGACACTAGGAGCCTGCACCGTTGTATTCTGAATTTTCTAAGCCATGGTGGAGGGTGGTTTAATAGGTTGAGCCAGACATCTATGTAAGGAGCTTGGTCTGGGTGTCCTAGTATAGGATGGAATACTGATGAAGCTGTACTGCTATAGAGGTGTCTAAAGTACCTATGGCTGGCCACCCCACTCCAAATGTTGGCCACTCTCCCTCACAAAACACCTGCAGTTTATGTCTACTCCACTTAAGACCATAGTCCTGAGATTCATATGCTTCCTTAAAATGTTTTAGCATATACCCCAATGGAGTTAGGGGCACACTTTCTCCACCTCCCATGAGCCACCCAGGTCACCAGACAAGACAATTGGGAAGAGGGGTTAGAAGAAGGTATGGGGCCCTTCCTCACTTGGTAACACCAGGGATTTCTACACACTCACGTACGACCCAGGGAGCCGGGTGCACATGGTCTCCGATGGGAACTGCGGACGCCACTCGCTTTCTACTGGCCCACAGTACTGGACACTCACAGTCACCAATGGGAACCGCAGTAGCTGCTCACCTGAATCATTCCTGACAAGTCCTCCCACCTTTGCTTAAGAGAGGATGATCAGTCCTCTCCTCCATCCCTGCTTACAGGGAGGGATTGCTTCCCAACTCCAATACTAGCCGAGTGCCTGCAGGAGTGTTCCTTCTCCACTGGCCGGCTGGAAGATGTCCTGGTCTCCTTACCTTTCACCAGTGGTTCTTGGAGGTGTCAACCGCCATCAACCAGAACACAGCAGTATTGGGAAGTCCCTCGGATTCAAAGGACTGATGGCGCCTAGGATGTTCCCTTCAACTCATCGAAGTACTGGCACCTGGGGTGGTCCCTCCAGCAGGCCTCAGGGCCCCTTTTGTCCCATCTGGGTTGCCATAAATGTTGCAGCAGATCCTGTTTCCAAATCAGGACACAAGACCACGAAGGGTAGGAGAATACAGGTTTATTTGCGCAAAAGGTTCAGAGCATTAGCATGGCAAATTCTGAACCCCCGCCTCTTCCTGAGGTGTTACTTTTATACAGCTCACAGTCTCAGCCTAGCCTGGGGCATTTCTCTTATCAAGCTATACCATATCATATGTACTATAGAAAGGAGAAGCAAATCTAATTAGTCATTTTACACACTGAAGCATATACGTACTTATCTTACACCCTCAGTTATTTTCCATACCCACCCTTGTTTACAGGAACGTGTCTAGTTCTTTGGTCTAGTAATTTCGTGGTTTACACAATATTGTATTAAGCAACTTCCATAATATTTGCTAAGAAATTTCTGCTAATTATAAGAATACTTTTCTGGTAATTTTCCATTCTGCTTCAATTTTACCTACCTCGGAAGGATGGAAGGTTGAGTCAACCTTGAGCCTGGTGAGATTTGAACTGCCAAATTGCAGGCAGCCAGCAAGCAGTAGCAGCCTGCAGTACTGCAGTTTTAACATTGGCAATGTTTCCTCTTGAAATATTTCAGCATTTTCTCTATACAGTAGAGTAGAGTAGAGTCGAGTCGAATAACAGAGTGGGAAGGGACCTTGGAGGTCTTCTAGTCCAATCCCCTGCCTAGGAAGGAAATCTTACACCACTTCAGACAAATGATTGCCAAAATCTTCTACTAGTGTGGGAGCATTCACAACTTCTGGGGGCAAGTTGTTCCATTGATAAATTGTTCTGTCAGGACATTTCTCCTTAGTTCTAAGCTGTTTCTCTCCTTGATTAGTTTCCACCCATTGCTTCTTGTCCTCCCCTCAGGTGCTTTGAAGAATAGCTTGACTCCCTCTTCTTTGGTTATCTAATAATAACCTGAGACAAGCTTGGCAGGGCATTCAGTAGTTTTAAAGCACAGAAGGCTAGTATGGGTGGAAAACATGAGTTGGTAGAGGAACTAAACACCTTTTATGCCCGGTTTGAGATGAATCAACTGGAAGTGGAGTTACCATCACCACTACCATTGTTGACCGAGCATTGTGCTCCTCTTGTTGTGAAGGAGCATGATGTTAGGTGTATAATGAAAGCGGTAAACTCTAGAAAAGCTGCAGGACCTGATAACATTCCTGGTTGTGTAGTAAAAGAATGTGCGGATCAGTTAGCCGGGGTGTGGACTGAGATTTTCAATCGTTCTTTGCTACAGTCTATTGTTCCAACTTGTCTGAAGGCTTCTATTATTGTTCCAGTACCCAAGAAGTCACCTGCAAATGCTTTAAATGACTTCAGGCCGGTGGCATTGCCTTCTGTGATAATGAAGTGCTTCGAGCAGTTAGTTCGGAAATATATTATTTCTTGCCTTCCTGTTACCTTTGACAATTATCAGTTTGCTTATAGAACAAACAGATCAACTGAGGATGCTGTCAATACTGTTCTTTATACTGCCGCACAGATTGATGTCTAAGCTTAAAGATCTGAAGCTACCGGGCTCCATATGTTGGTGGATTCTGAATTTTTCATTTCATCGTTCACAAAGGGTTAGGATGAACGGACATATCTCTTCTGTGAAGATCCTCAATACTGGCACTCCTCAGGGCTGTGTATTGAGTCCACTTTTATTCACTATTTATACGTCTGATTGCACCTCTATTCATCTGAGTAATAAGATCATTAAGTTTGCAGATGATACAACGTTGGTGGGGCTCATGTCTGGTAATGATGAGTCTGCGTACAGGGATGAAATTCATCAGCTGTCCCTCTGGTGCAAAGTAAACAATCTTATTTTTAATATAAATAAGACGAAGGAATTCATAGTGGATTACAGGAAGAGCAGTTCAGATATCCAGCCATTGTATATCGATGGTGTTTTGGTAGAACAGGTGGCAGAATGTAAGTTTTTAGGTATCACCCGAAACAAGATCTAACATGGGAGGCAAATACTTTAGCCCTAGAAAAAAAGGCTCATCAACGACTGTATTTTTTAAGACTTTTAAGATCACAACAACTGCCAGAGAGTCTGTTGGTTGCCTTTTATCGAAGCTCTATAGAGAGCATTTTATCTTATTGCCTCTGTGTGTGGTTTAGGAGTTGTACAGAGGCGGAGAAAAGGGCACTCCAAAGAGTGATAAAAAGGGCACAAAAGATCAGCGGCTGTCCTCTTCCCTCATTGGAGGATTTGTATAACGTGGGATGTAGAAGGAAGATACAAAAGATCTTGAGAGATCCTTCGCATCCAGGCCACTCGTTGTTTGAGATCCTACCATCAGGAAGACGATATAGAGTGCTGAAAGCCAGGACAAGTAGATTTAAACATAGCTTTTATCCAAGTGCTGTGATTAGGTTAAATGCAGAGTTATGAATCTGGTGGTCTTAACATATATATATCCTGGTTGTACAGTTTTTAACTGTTATTTGTTTTAATTTGTTTTACATTGTTATTTGTATATGTCTTTTGGTGTAGTTCAGTTGTATGTTGTGGAAGAGCACCTTATTTCGTTGTTCTCAGGTTTCTGAGTACAATGACAATAAATTTATCTATCTTTGTGGCAGCCCCTGAGATATTGGAACACTGCTATCCTGTCTCCCCTACCCTTTCTTTTCATTAGACTAGACATACCCACTTCCTGCAACCATTCTTGCAACCATTTGTTTTAGCCTCCAGTCCCCTAATTATCTTTGTTGCTAATCTCTGCACTCTTTCTACAGTCTCAACATCTTTTTTACATTGTGGCGGTCCCCATCTTGTCTTGAAGGTGTTCTCCCAAAAGTGCTTTTTTTCAAAAGTCAACTGGACTTTGTTTCTCCTTGAAGACATTTCGCTTCTTATTGAAGAAGAAACAGAAGTGAAGAAACTTCTTGGATGAGAAGGGAAATCCCCTCAAGGGAAAAAAAAGTCCAGTTGCCTTTTGATAAAAGTACCTTTGGGAGGAACCGCAGCCTGGATGACTGAGAATCTCCATAGCCATCTGGAAGTGTTAGTGCCCAAGTCACTAACACTCCCTTTGCGGTTCGCATTGACAAAAGTTGATCATTTGTTGTATGTTATGTACACTTGTAAGCGTATGCATTGGAGACACAGGCCTTGTATCTCCAATCTCACTTGGCAAATGAGAGAATTCCCTTCCCATCCCCATTTCTACATTCAATTCCATTTCTGTTCTTACTGTTTGTAATCTTATTCTATTCTACTCTAGCACAAAGATATAATATCCAAAAGTTAATTCCTAGTTCTACAAGGGAACTCTTCTTTTTAATGGATCAAGACATTTCTGCTGCTTCGGAAGCTCTTCCCATGCTCCATGCATTTTTCCAGAATCTCCCACATAATTTCTATGGGCATGAAGCAAATTTTGAGAATCAACACGAACCAATTCACATCATTTGCTGAGCGTATTCTTACGGCAATTAAAGTCACTGCTGGTTCTGCATTTCTTTCCACACTCCACACATTAATATGGCTTCTCCCCTGTGTGGAGTCTTTTATGGAGCGTAAGATTCCTGCCGTCTTTGAAAGTCTTTCCACACTCGATGCATTTAAACGGTTTCTCCCCAGTGTGGATCCTATTGTGGTAGGTAAGACTGGAACTATCATTATAACATTTTCCACACTCTAAGCATTTATAGGGTTTCTCCCCTGTGTGGATCCTATTGTGGGAGGTAAGCTGCCCACTCACACGAAAACATTTTCCACACTCCAGGCATTTATACGGTTTCTCCCCTGAGTGAAGCCTTCTATGGCTCCTGAGTGAATTATTTTGATTAAAGCTTTTTCTGCACTCATGACATGTATATGGTTTCTCTCCAGTGTGGATCCTCTTGTGGATAACAAAGCAACCACTTGTCCTGAAACTCATGTCACACTCCGTACACTTATATGGTTTCTCCCCTGTGTGAATCCTTTTATGGATCGTCAGTGCTCCAGAATGACTGAAGCGTTTTCCACACTCCTGGCACTGATATGGTTTCTCCCCAGTGTGGGTCCTGCTATGTATGACATAGATATTTTTTGCACTGAAGCTCTTTCCACACGTGTGGCATTCATATGGTTTCTCTCCAGTGTGGAGCTTTTTGTGACGAGAGAGATTCCCCGAATCAGTGAAGCATTTGTCACATTCAGGGCACTTATAAGGCTTTTCACCTGTGTGGGTCCTTTTATGGACAGTAAGAGTATATGGATTACTGAAGCTCTTCCCACAATTGGTGCATTGATACGGTTTTTCTCCCGTGTGGATCATCTCATGTGACTTAAGATTAACTTTTTGACTGAACCTTTTTCCACAGTTCAGGCATTGATAAGGTTTCTCCCCTTTATGCATCCTATTATGTAAGGTTAGAGCACCGCTTCCGCTAAAACTTTTTCCACATTCCAGGCATTCATAGGGTTTCTGCCCTGTGTGGACCCTCTTATGGGAAGTAAGGTTACATCGGGCACTGAAGCATTTTCCACACTCTGTGCATTTATAAGGCTTCTCTCCTGTGTGGATCCTCTTATGTAAATTGAAATTGCTTTTTTGCGCGAAGCTCTTTCCACACACCATGCAATGATACGGCTTTTCCCCTGTATGGATCCTATTATGGCAACTGAGGTCACTTGCAGAGCGGAAGCTCTTCCCACATTCTAGGCATTTATATGATTTCTTCCCAGTGGGGCTTTTTTTCCGGGAATTCGGTTCCTTGCTCTGAGTAAACCTCGTTCTACCCTCCCTGTGTTGATCCAACTTCCCTTTGTGGACGCTTTGGTGGGAAGTAAGGGAGGTGCTGCTTCCAAAGGACTTTCCACAGGGGATGCCTTGATGCTGTTGCTTCTCTTCGTGGACCCTCCTGTGTGAATTAAGGTGGTTTTTCTGTCTGAAGGTCCTTCCACAATCCAGACATTTGTGTGGCTCCTCTGCTTTGTGAATCTTTTTATGTGAAGCAAGAGAGCGGCTTTTACCGAAGCTTTCTGCACACTCTGTACATTTGTACGTTTTTCCTTTTATTCTTTCATGTAAGGGAGGAGGAAAGTTCCTTCTGTGGTGTTGCCTGCTTTCATCTTGTTTATCTCCAGCAGGGCTTTCACCACAGTCACATAATCCAGATTCATCACAGAGTCTTTTTCCACACCTTGAACACACTTCCTTTTCATGGCTATCATCGGTGTCCAATAAGACATCGGTATCTGGACAAGGTAAACCAAAGCAATTCTCCAGCTCCCCCGTTAACTGGTTTTGCTCAGAACTTTGCTTTCCATACATTTTTTCTGCAACTTCCTTTTTGTCTTTTGGCAAAGGTGCTGCTGCCTCTTGGCCAGAATCCTCCATCTCCCATCGGTCACCTGGTTGCAACAATAAAAAAAGAAAAGTTAGCACAACCTTTAGTGCGAAAGCAATCAAGCACCATGCTGTATTTGAAGGGTATCAAACTTCTTCCAAACTCCCATTTGTTCTAAACATGATGCTATGCTTGCTATTAAGATGATTGAACATTTGACCTTTGGCTACTAAATTTAAATCCCTTACCTAATGAGGCCACATTCCTCTTGTTTTCCAGCATGACCTCTTGGTACAGGGCTTTTTGCTCAGAGTCCAGCAGGGCCCACTCCTCCACTGAGAAAAACACAGCTACATCCTCAAATGATATCAAATCCTGACACAGAGACAGGGGAGAAAAACACAACATATTCCATGAATATTCCTAACAATGAACACTTCAATGAATTACATGCAAGTTGTCTTCTTAATGAAAAACCTCCACAGCTTCCAAGTAGGGCAAAGACCATGTAGGATATTGAATTTAGTAACTGGAACAGTAAAGTCTACAACAGGCCGGAACACAATTGTAACTGATTAGTTAGAGGGTGCTGACTCATGCAGGATGCAATCTATGCTCCAATTGGCTGCTGAAAGTATAAAGGGGGTGTTTCTCTTTTTTCCCGCCTTTTTCCATTCTCTGTGTTCTGCATGATGCTGTCAGCTTTGGAAGCCATATTAGCACCAGATGCTTCTACCCTGCCACATTCTTGAGCCTGGGAAAAGGGAGGGGAGAATTTCTTGGAGTGTATGTGGCTAGACATAATAGCATTCTTCTTCTAAGTCAAGGTCATGTTATTTCTGCACCTGGCTGAGGAGTGATTGAGAGGACATCTCAAGTTGGGATGGATGGTGATTGGGGCATGTGATGCCATGAGGTGTACAAGGGGTAGATTCATAATTTTTTACTTATTGCAGGGAAACCCAGAATCTTCACATTTGGGATTTCCCAGATGGACCATTTTACTACTCTAATAAAAGGAACTTTTGAGAAGTTGTCTGTCTCAGAGTTATTTGTTGGAGTTGAGGTTTTCTGGAACGCTGACAGATGTTTTAGATTTACCTCATGATGTTCCTGTGTTCCTGACTATCTTATGCAGGAACTGGATATGGCCAGTCCAGAGAAAAGAAGGACCAGGGGAGACGTGATATCAGTGTTCTAGTATTTCTGAGGCCGATCCAAACAAGAGGGGCTCAACTTATTTTCCAAGTCACCAGAAGGCAGGAGAAGAAACAATGGATGGAAAGTAACGGTGGAGAAAGGCAACCTGGAAGTAAGTAGAAACTTCCTGACAGTGAGAACAATTAACTAATGGAACGGTTTGCCTTCAGAAGTTTTGGGCTGGAGGTTTTTAAGGAGAGACTGGGACAGCCACTTGTCTGAAAGGGTATAGGGTCTCCTGCTTGAAATGGGACAGACTAGAAGATCTCCAAGATCCCTTCCAATTGTGATATTCTGTTATTGGGAGATTGGCACATCTGGGGAGGGGAGGGGAGAATCCTCTTACCTGCGTTGGAAGCTCAGCCGCTGTTGATCCTCCATTACAAAGAACTGGGGTTCCGGGAGATGAAGCCATGGCCACGAGGGGGTCTAGGAGAGGGGAACAAACAGCAAAGGAATAATTGGCTATGAAACATTCTAAGGACATTCTTGAGCATCCAGTGCAAAAGGCTGATTTTAGCTACAAAAGACTACAAAATCTTTTTTTCACAGTTGGGACTTGAAGTGGGGAACTACTGGCCTTTCATAACGGCTGGACTTCAAGTCCCAGAATACCTGAGCCAGCTGGCTGAGGAATTCTGGGACTTGAAGTCCACCAGTCATAAAAGGGCCGTAACTTCCTCACCCCTGGATGAAAGCAACGTTTTTCGATCTTGTGAGGTGTTAAGATATGTGGATTTCAACACACGTGGGAAATTCTGGGAGTGGAAGCCCACAAATCACAAGGTTGCCAAGGTTGAGAAACAATGGCCCGCAGGAAAAGAGCGACGCCTCTTTAAATGCCCTAAAAGGCTTTAAAAACTCAGTTCAGTTGAACGATGGAAGCGAATTCCGGGAGGAATTCAAAGGAAGCGATGGGAAACGTTCAGCGCCCCAAGAAGCTGCATGGAAGGCTCACCTGTCCCGGCATTTCCCAGGAAGGAAGGGAGGTTTTTACCTGGCACGCAATAGGAGAAAGGCAGCTCTCTTCCTCGGCCGGACTCGGCTTCCCTCCTTCCCGGCCACGCATGTGGATCCCCCTCCCCGGAACGACCCTCACCAGGAGTTTGCAGAGCCCAAGCCGGAAGCGCTTATAGCTCCTCCCATTCTGTACGGGGGCGGGGAGCGCTGCCTATTCAGGGGTCCCCCTGCCTGCCCAATTCCCCCCCACGGTCCTGGGCGGGATGGGCACTGAAGACAGTGACTTTCTCGCACTAAAGACCCGGGGGGGAATCGGTCCTGCGTGGGATGGTCAGCTGGGCAGGGAGTCCAGGGCTGCTTCGCCCCAGGCAGCCAGAAAAACGGGGGAGAGGGAGGGGACGAGGCCCAGGAGCAGGAAGGGGAAGGGGATGCGGAGCATTAAAGTTAGGAGGGAATTGTCCTTTAACAGAATAACAGAGGTGTGAGGGGCCTTGGAGGTCTTCTAGTCCAACCCCCAGGCAGTCAGAGAAAGGGGGAGAGGGAGGGAGCAAAGTTAGGCAGGAAAAGGAGCTTCTCTTATCCACTTAGCATAGTCCTCAACTTACAACTTACTCCCTTCAATGACTAACAGTCATGATTGTGCCCTAGTAACAAACAATGGCTGTCTTACAAGTAGTCCTTGACTTACAGCCATTGGATCAGTGGCCGGAGCGACAAAGGCACTGAAAAAAGTGACATTTTCACACTCAAGACGGGTGCAGCAGGTCTTCAAAATCCAGGCACTTGACACCTGACTCATATTTATAATGGTTGCCATGTCCCAGGAAGCTCCGGATAGGCAAAGTCAATGGGGGAGCCAGATTTGCTCAACGACTAACAACTACAGCGATTCGCTTAACAACCATGTCAAGAAATAGCATAAAATGGGACCAAACTCAATTCACGAATGTCTCACTTAGCAACAGACTGAATTGTGGTGGTAAGTCAAGGATTGTCTGTATTTGAAGGGTCGATGGGGCATGTCGAAGAGTAACACAACTTAGAATCTGCTTTTTTCCAATATTACCCCTAATAAATGGGGAGCCAAAGGACCCCCTGATGATCCATAAGGGAGACCTACTAACTTTCTCCCTCTGAAGCTGAAGAAATCCTCAGAGCTAAGAAACATTTAATATACTTAACTATGTAAAAAGCCTGAGGCAGGAAATATTTAAAGATCTGTGAATTTCAGAAGGAAAACAACTAAAGCGTATAGGCAGCCTTGACCTACAGCCATCTGTTTAGTGACGGAAGTTACAACGGCATTGAAAAAAGTGACTTATGTCCATTTTTCACACTTACGACCGTTGCAGCATCCTCATGGTCATGCAATCCAAATTCAGCCACTTGACACCTGACTCACATTTATGACCAATGTGGTGTCCTGGGGTCAGGGGAATCCCCTTTTGCGACCTTATGACAAGCAACACCAAAGGGAAAACCAGATTCCCTTAACAGCCAGGTTGCTAATTCAAC